TATATAAATAAAATAAATGTATATAAGTAACAAAACTTCCCTTTTTTCATCTTCTAACTTATTATTTTATAAAATAATGTAACCCCAAGTAGAAAACTTACAGGTCTGCTTAGTAACAATTGCCCAGCTTCACAGCACACACGTGTAGCACTGTTGTTGAAGTTCTGTTGTTGGTAATTGCCAAGCCGCACACATGCCAAGTTGCACATGTGTTTGTGATGTCTGAGACACAAGGGGTCAGTTTGACTGCCAAGGTCATGACTGGTGGTCACAAGAGGCAGTTAGCACTGCACTGTCCCCTTCCCTGTGGAGCGTCCTGGTGCCACCTAGCAAGTTGGTGCTCAAGCATGCACAATCCATTTGTGAAAAATATCACTGAAACTCCCCTGACAATGTTAAAAGTTTATGATCTTCAGGGGCCAGATTACAGGCTATCCCAAACCATATGCAGCCCATGGGCCGTGATTTGGACGCGCCTGCTTTAGAAGTTACTTGTGGACCTGATGGTAATGAGTTTATATGTTGTACTTTCTTGAGTTTATGTTTGAAAATATCTTTATTCCATCCCTATATTTGCAAGGCAGAACTCTAATTTGACTGTCATTTTCCCCTAGCCTTAGAGGGTAATTTCCCTTTTTTCTGACTTTTTGAGGTCGGCCAGCAGTCTACTTGGCACTCTTTCGTGAGTAATCTGCCTTCGTCCTCTGCCTGCTCTTAAGGGCCGTGTCTTTGGGATTTGCAGTTTTACTGCAGTGTGTCTAGATGTGGCTTTCTTCTTTCTCCTCCATCACTGACATTTTCTACCAGTTTGGGGAAATCAGCAGTGTTTTCTATTTGAAAGTTGCCTTGCACCTTTGTCTTTAATCATTTATTTGGGAATGTTTTCATATTCCCCATAACCTTGAACCTCTCTTCATGTATTTTCAGCTCTGTCTCTATGCAAGGTCTGAATAACTTCTCCTGATCTTTTAGTTAGTTCACCATTCTCTATTCATTTCTTTCCACTCTGATATTTAACCACAGATTGGGGTTTTGAATTTCAATTACTTTATCTTACAGTTCTAAAGTTCTATTCAAAATTTGACCAGTTTTGATAATCTCTTATTTCTCATACATTCTCCTTTTTATTTCTCTAAGTATATTAAACGTTATACAGACATTCCTCGTTTAATGACCAAGCTACAGTCCTGCGACCAGCTCATTAAATGAACTGTTCACTAAATGAGGAATTGTACATAGTATGTACATTATAATATTCAGAACAAAGTAATGGTCAGAGAAAATTCCAGCTTGATGACTTTGCTTTTATTTGCATAACTCTTAAGTGCAGTACTGTAGTGTACAGCAAAATATAAAACTACAGCACTGTACTGTATAGGACAATCAGCAAAAATTACAGTACTATATAAATAAGGTGTACTGTAGAAAACGAAGACATTGAGGCTTTATCAACAAGATGCACAGAACTGTACCAAAAAAAAGACAGGTCATAAGTCCAGTCATTAAATAAGTAATATCTGTATTTTGTATGGAATAATTCCAATATGCAAAGGGTTTGTGGATCATATTCTGCAGTTCACTATCTCCCTGCTGACTGTTTGAAGTAGCTGGTTTTCTGAGGGACACAGCCATTTACAATTGTAAGCACTTCATCATCTGGAAGCTGTGCCTCCATTGTCCCACCCCACCCCACCCCACCCCAAAAGTAA